AACAAGAATGTTCTAGCCTTTATGTTTCTATCTTTCATGGGCTCATCTTTGCCCGATGGTCTAGGCTTAGCCATTATAGGACAAGTATACGTATCTCCTTTGACCAATTCGATCAAACACATTTCGGCCTGATCATATGACTTGTCGCTGATGGTATGAACGTTAAAATTTGGGTCTTTGTAATAAGTCCCTTTACTAGAATTTTTCATCTGCTCTTCCTCTCTTATCAATCGTTCATACCTAATCACATTCGCACTCAACTGGAAAAGGTCAGGAAATTCCTTGTCCTGGAATTTCTTTTTTAAATCAAAGCTCAAACAACCTTGAGCGATTTTGACAAATTCTTTTTCGGTCAGAGGTACAAAACACTTGCTTCTTACTGTCTTGAACCTTTGGAGAAAACTTTCTGCCCATTCGTTTGGCATTTGACGTAGATTCGCCAAATCAGCCAAAGTGACTTCAGACTCAGTTTTATAAAACTGAGCGTGGAATAACTGTTCCAATTGTTGCCATGTTTGAACAGAGTTCGCTGGCAAGTTGATGAACCAGGAGAAAGCTACTCCTGTTAATGAACTAGGGAAAAGCCTCATTTTATGGTAATCAGTTACATCACCACTTTGCAATGTGAATCGCCCTATATGTTCTAGAGTATACACCTCTCCTAAGCCGGTAAACAGTGAGAATTCTGGTACTTTATACCCTATAGGCCATGGATATGCTTGGTCTACCCAATCAGGATATGACTTTGTGTAAGTCGGCCTAATGACAGGACGCACCCCCAAAGCCATCTGATCCTGTACGATTTCCATAATCTGATTCCTCAACATGACGTTGAGATCATATGGAATTCCTACAGGTTGGTTAACCGGTTGATTTGCATGAGGCCTGATGTTTTGTCCTTGATTGGCAACAAAGTTACCATGATTAGGGCCATTACCATTAGCTTGAACATCTATTCCCTTATTGACACGTAGGGTATTCTGTCCATTGTTTAGGACATTATCTCTTACATTTGAATTACCCTCCAAGTTGGGCGTACCACTACCATTGTTCTGATTTGGCACTGCACCACCCCCTTGGTTTGAAGTAGAGGGACCAGAAAGTGGTTCTACCCCTTGATTCGGATTTAGGACTGAGGGATTATGTCCCACAATTGTCCTAGTTTGAAAGTGATTTGCAAGAGGCATAACCGGTTGACATATTTGGCCTACTAACTTATTCATTATTTCGTTCAAAGTGTTTAGTTGTTTGGCCATGTTGTCATAATGTGCATTTTCATTTTGGGTAAATCTTTCCATATTATGAATTCTTCGAAGATTTACCTATTCAACGACATCTTGCGTGAGTTCTCCAAGTAATGCACGCATGGTTCGAGGACTCAACTCTGTTATTGATTCGTAACGACTGTTACTGCTCTGATTCTGTCCATCTGTTCGTGAAGAGGCATGCTGCTCCTTATATCGCTCAATCACAGACTGGATTCCTCCCTAACTTGCTGCTTCCTTATCGGATCTCTGAGGCATATTGTTTCACCTTTTGTATTTTCAACACCAAATACCACTGTCCCACTGGGCGTGCCAAATTGTTTCGCGCGGGTTCGTCTCTAACAATTAAAAGGGATTAGACGATTGTGTAAGGGACAAACCTCTTGGGACAAAGTCCCAAAAAGGGGTGTTCTTTATTGGCGATGACTTTACAATTGGAAATTAAAAATAGAATGCCTCCAAGGGGCGCAAGCACATGAGTTACTGAAAGAAGTGTTTAAATCTAAGCTAAGAAATTTTAAAATTACATGTTCTCTATTCGAGAGTTTTTGATTCGATTTTTTTCTACTCTATGTCTTTCCTTCCTTTTATACTTCCTGGATGATCTCTTTATGATCAACTGTCTAAAAACTGCTTGATCGTTCTATAACTGTCCACTTCCTCGTAATGGCCAACTTGTCATGGAACTGCCTTTTCTAACTGCTGTCATTACTCTTTGTCGTTCAACCGTCTTCAATTGAGTTCCTTGAATCGTGGAACATGATGGGGTTGTTTTAATAACTGTTTTGATAACTGCGCTTCTTGATAACCACAACACTTCATGTTTTCTAAAACCTTGGGCAACTCGAAGGTTTGGACGAGAATAGAGTAACAACTCTGGGCGACTTGCAAGCTTGGATCCTGGGCGAGTTGCAAGCTTGAGCGATGGTGTTACCGCGTTCATGGGCCTCCCTATTTGGGCCTTCATCTTGAATTGTCTGATTGGACTTCGTTCTTTGGGTTATCTGATTTGGGGATCCTCCAATTGGGCTTCATTCTTTGGACCGTTCAATTTGGGCTGAATTTTTATGTGTCAACAAGATGTAATAAAAAGTTTGAGAGCAAAAATGTATCTAAGAACCAATTTTTTAATCTTTGTTTTCACTTTTTGGGCAACATAGTTAGAAAAGAATAGGGAGCAAAACTCTAGTGGGCTCCATTGAATAGACTGAAATTTAGCCCCTGTTTGAGCTCCATTTGCCGTCAAAATATATTTTAGAATAATATTTTTTGAAAATTTTTCAGTTAAAAGTAAGGAATAATTTTAAATTTACATGTAAAATTATTTTATACAAGAATATGTAATTGAAAATTAATTTTTTGGAAAATGGGGCCAAACATAGGCGTAATGCCAAAATAAATTAGGCAATGAATAATTGTATATGTTGTTTGTTGTGAAAATGCAAACTGCAAGTGCACGAGTCGCGTTCAAATGATAAAGTAGACTTTTTAAGTCCGAATTATTAATTCCTCGAATAATGTATACTTTCGATTATAACTCTTTAACCAATTTAATTCTAACAATAAAAATAAAATACAATAAAGATTTTGATTTTGATTTTGAAAAATAACTAAAAATTTACAAAATAAGACAACACAAACACTTGGGAATTTTGGAGGAAAACATGAATGGAATTCATGGTTTCATTTAACCGTCACCCAATTAATTTCTTCACAAGTCAATTAATAAATTATTCCTTTACGATATTAGATTCAATTTTTCAAAGCTAATTACCATTTTTCGAGCGAAATTAACTTTAATTGATTGATTTAACATATTATATCTATATATCGATTAAAACTAAAAAACTGTATTAAAACATTGTGAAAGTAGTTCAATGGGTCACTTAAGGTTAAGGGGTGTATCTCTATTCATTACACAAACTAGAGTTTCTACTGTTTAATTTAAGATGCACAATCTCTTCTCAAGCGATGTATAGATCACTGCATAATCATTCATTGACCGTATAAATGAAAATACAGTAATAACAATAGTAAAAAGACATGAAATAAGTATATAAATATTAAAAAGTAAATATTGAAATTAACACAAGTCAAGTAATATTTTAACCATAAATCCCAAAAATAAAACTTAGCCCATGTTATATATATGATAATAAAAGAGAACGTTTATCCAATACATAAAATGATAGAAAATAATAAAGAAAATACAAGATTAAAGATAAAATCATTTTTTATTAGATTTGATTCAATCTTGAGTTCCTCAATTCTTCTCCATCTTAACTTTGATTATTGTTCTTATTGTGCTCTGGATTTTTCCCTAAAATGCCAAGAAAAATGAGAAAAAGAAGAAGAAAGGAAAGATAAGAAAAAAGAAAGGAACAAGAAGCCACAATGAAGTTGCTACTCGTTTTTCGATTCCTAAAACCTTTTCCGAAATTGCAACCTAAAGTTCCACGTCTTGATTATAGAGTACCTCAATTCTTCTCTACCTTTTTTTATTATTATTTATTCTCTTTGTTGTGCTCTTGATTTTTTTCCTCAAAAAAATAACAGGAAAAGAAATAAGAAAGAAAGAGAGAGAAAGAAAAGAAAAATGGAAGGAACCAGAAGCCACAATGAAGCTGCTACTAGTTTTTCAATTCTTAAAACCTATTTAGAATTTTCAGCCAGAAGCCCCAGGTTTTGGGGAAAAAATAGTTCTTGAGCTTTCTAGGCGCCACTTCTCTGCCAAAAATAAGAGTTTGGTTCATTGACTGTAAAAGCACACTTATCAAATATCTCAAAACTTAAGTTATTACTCGTCCTGAACAAGATTATTTGGATCAATTATTAAACCATGCAAACTAGAAATACTTTTTTCTTGGATAATCTACAAAATAATCGAGCGAAATGTGATAATTATCAACACGCTAGATAGCTTGCACAATATCCATGAATGTAAAATTGTATAATTAATTCACAAATATGCTGCAAATAATGATAGCAAAAATAATTTAAACTTATCCAATGTTTGATCGATATGTGTTTGGGCATGTGTGCAAAGTCGCTTTCATTCATCTTCTAAATTAGAAAAAAATTGTCAAGACGGAAAAAATTTCAAATTGGCTCCAACTAGACTCTTAGTGGTCAAATATTTCTTTTCCCACTCGTGAGATTTACACTCCTATATATATGTTTCTTTGCTTTCTCAAGGTGTAAATCAAATGTTGCTTTCAATTCACTATTTTATTTACTTTTTTCTCTAATTTGGTCGGGTCTAATCGACAGTCTCAACATCTTAGACATGTGATGATTCTCTACTTATAAGTGCTTCTACATTTAAGCGTATACTATGTAATTCAAACTCACTAATTATCTAAGCCCAAATATCAAATACATCTGCACAAATTTTTTCCAATTAAATATCATGTTTTACCTCACCTCTCTTAAGCTTTCACTACAACAAAAACAGCCTTTTGCAATATTCAAAAAACGTTGAGGAAAACCTTTTGCAACGTTTGAACGTATGTTGCAAATCTTAGTGTTGCCATAGAGCGCAAAGATACAGCACGGAAAGTGACTTTTGCAATGTTTAAAAAATGTTGCTGTATGAAAAAAGTTGGTAAGACACTGACAACAACGTTTTTTTCAAACATTGTCGAAAGCCTTTTGCAACGTTTAAAAAACGCTGCCGTAAGTGTTTCGCAACTTTTTTTTTTTTTTACAGTAATTTATGTGAATTAACTCGCAAAATTGAAAATGACAAATTTTGGAATTGTACAAAAATTGATAATTTCATTACAAATTTTTGAATACATAATGTGAAGTATGACTATTTTCTCTTATACACTTGAATACATAATGTAAAAAATGCAAGCATGCTATTGAAAAACATAACCAACTTCTCTTTATATAATTCATATTGAAATTAATCATATTTCAGGATGCCCTTGTACCAAACTTTAGTGTCATGTGCTGCTCACCCCAACCCTCATTGCTTTCAACAATTGCAAGTCTTTTTTTATGCAATAGTCCAGTAGTAAGCCAAAGAATTAGTAACAATCTCCAACGGATTACAAGTCCTGCATTTGTAGAGTACAATCTTTAAAGAATTAATAAGCCAAAGTAGATATGCCAAAAAAAGGACTATCAATTCTTCTTTTAGAGGAATAAAGGTCCTTGCACTTCTTTTGTCAAAGAATCTGTTAGTTGTTCTTTACTAGTAATAAGAGGAATATAAATGACCATTTTCTATTTTCTTATTGATAAGGTGTCTATAGGTGTAAAGAAAAGAGCAAAATTGTCTTAAAGAACAAGAAATAATCAAAATAAAGTACCAAACATAATGCAATTACAACCGTCTAATTATCTAAGCAGGAACCATGAAATGTATAAATAAAACTCAAAAAGCTATACAAGGAAATCAAACAAAATAAATGTTGAATGTTGACTTACTTCCATCGAACCACATGGTCCATATCTAGTTGCTCAGCTTCTTTGTTAATAAAAAATAAATAAATAACAAGAATACAAAGTAAAGAGAAAAATGGGGAAAAAAATGAAGAAGACTGTGTCCAAAATTTGATCGGAGAAACAACCTCAAGGAATATTTCCATTTATAACAAGAAACAATCAACGTAAATACCAAATATGAAGTAAATTCAATAACCACCCAAAGCAACTAAGCAGACCTAGTTCTTGACTTATTTTTCCAAATTTAGCAACGAAAAGCATATACACAAAGGAAAATTTCCACAAAGAACAAGAAACAATTAAAAAATACCAGACATTAAGCAAATTCAACAACAATCCAAAGCAACTAAGCAGAACCCATATTAGTTATTAACTTACTTTTCCAAATTGAGCCACAAAATACATACAACTCGAGTAGCTATATGAGGAAATCAAATGAAATATTCATTGACTTAATATTGTGTTAGAGGTAGTACACAAGTTTCTCATGCCAAATGGATTGCAACATTTAAGGCAAATTCATCCTCATTCATACATTTCCCACAAATATAGATTTTCAAATAACAGAGCAGCACTCACTCTAATTGCTATTCTAATTGATTAAAGAATTCTTAAATTAGTTATCAACACTTATTAATGCAAGAGCCAAGAAGAAAGCAATTAGTGGCCATCGCCGCCACCACCAAAGCCTCTTCCTGCACCTGCACCACTACCTATACCACCTCCTCCACGACCACCAAATCCACCACCCCTACTTGCACCTCCTCCTAATCCTCCACCACCTAGTCTCCCTATATAAATTTTGTGAAACTTACCCTATATATATAGTATTAACCATTGAAGATAGATAGATTCGTAGAGTTGACATGCCATAGGGTACCCTACTGCCTCTGTGGCTCCTGTTTGAGTCTACTATAGAGACTTATTGTATCAATAACATAAGATTTACACAAATGTAGATAAAATGGTTAAAAAGTTAATTTTAAGCTGGAATAAACTCTTAGTGAGTGAGGATACAATGAGAGTGTTCTTGTTTCTGATAAATATATATACAAAGTTTTGGAGGCCGGACATTATATTTAACTTCCAAGTCGTTAAAGAAAATATCAGTAGGGCTCCATCGAAAGAATCTCTTCATTTCATCTCTGTATTTAAACAGTATAGCTATTAAGATTTAAGAATGTTTTCAATTCACAGTGCCATTCAAATAGCAATAATTACTGGAAAGTCTGGAATCAATTCACAGAGTAAGCAATTAGCAACTCACAGTCACGAAATTACAAAATGCTTTCATAGTCACAAAGACGAAGCATTAGCATTTAGAAATATGAAATGGAAGCAAGCTTCACTCACAGAGACAGAGTAAAAAAACACACAGTCACAGAGTAAATCGAGACTTGAGCAGGCTTCAAGATTCATCTTCACAGGCCTAGGGCTTCTAGGTCTAATTTCAAGAGCAATTCAAAAGTTATTCAATACCAATTCATGACTTCAAGCAATTCAAAAGTAATTTCATATGTTAAGAATAAAAAATTACAACAGTACACAAACATAAAGCAAAATAAGTAACTAACATAAAAAAAGTTAAGAAGAACTTGAGTGCGGTTTAGGAATCAGAATTAAGGGGCTTCACCTTCTTCTTCTACTATCAAATTGTTGGTGGAAATGTAGACTCAAAGGACTGCTACTGGCTATCGTGTCTCGAGAGGTTCAAGGGCTCAAAGGTGCTGCATGACCTGTATCTAGAGCTCGAGCTCGAATATCGAAGGTTGGTGGTCAGTGGTGGAAGGCGACGAGATGGAGAGGCGAAGAGACGAAAGCAACCAGTCACAAAGAGTGGGAGTAAAATTCGTGATTTGAGGAGTATTACCTCTGCCTATTTTTTTCTTTTTGTCTCGTCCATTCATAGTCCAAAAAGCAAATATTTTTTTGCAACGTTTTATAAATATTACGAAAGATGGTACTTTTTGCAACGTTTCATAAACGTTATGAAAGATGGCACTTTTATAAACGTTGCGAAAAGCAAAACTTTTTGCAACACTAAATAAACGTTACAAAAATGTGACATTAGCAACATTCACTTAAAAAAAATTAAATAAAATTTTATTTTATTTTATTTTTCTTAGTAACTTTTTTTAAATAAGTTTTAATTTTATTTTAGAAACTTTTTTTTAAATAAGGTTCTATTTTTTTTAAGTAACATTTTTCTAAATAAGCTTTTATATTATTTCTTTTTTTAAAATAAGTTTTATTTTATTTTTTTATTTTATTTTATATATAAAGAAAAGTTACCGTTTTACCCCCTTTAAAAAAATTAGTGAAAACTGTGAAAAGAAGTTGGATGGCCATAATGAAACGTTATATGAAATTGGGTGGTCATTATGAAATAAAATCAAATTGGGTGGTCATGCTACTAAGTTTAAAGTTGGGTACCGGTTCATGATGAAACAAAATCAAACTTGATGGTTATGATGACATTAAATGTAAAAAAATTGATGATTACTGATAGATTTAACCCTCCCAAATAACGGTAGCCAAGCAGGGCTTAGAACATTTACATGTTGATACTTGAATGGGCTTGCTCACACTCCTACAAAACTGTCAACTTTACATTTTAGGGTAGTTTTTGGATGCATAGTCCATATTCTTTCTTGCAGACATTATATTCAAGCATTGTTGAATAGTAACAATTATCTATTTGGTTAAAACATAAAAAACCCATTTAACCAAATTTGTGGGCTTGATATCTAGTGTGACTCGATCTCGATGGATGCTTGCTCATTCTTACATGCTTAAAATCTAGTGAAAATATCTTCTAGGAATATAGTCCTTGTTTGGTATGAATTAAAATCTTAATTTAGATCCAAGTCAAAATTAACAATTATTTTTAACTATATATTTCAAGAAATCCACAAATTTCAAACCATACATTGCATCAAGCGTTATTAAAATTTACAAAAAATATGATTTTAATCCCCACCCAATTGGAGCATATATTCTTTACTCCCCTCACCACTTTGTTTTCCCTTTTAAAATCATGTTTGATCGAAATTAAAATCTTAATTTTAATTTAACTAAAAGTATACAATTATTTTAATTATATATTGGGATTTATAATTTTTTAAGTACACATTTTAGTAACTTTCATTAAAATCTATGAACAATACAATTTTTAGCTATGAAACATGAGCTAAATTGTGAGACATTTGTCGAGGAGAAAG